TTTTGGTATATACGGGAAGAACTCTTGATAGTTTCACAAAGTAAATATAAATTACAGAAGTACTCTTAATGCAAATTAATTTAATAAATATTACATAAGCGAATAATAAAGAAAGTACTAACAATAATTTTGTTTACTAGGTGTGTTACTAAAAGAAATTCAAACAGATTTTTTACTAAGTAAATACTCTGTGGTGATAATCGATGAAGCACACGAAAGAAGTGTTTACACAGATATACTGCTAGGACTTTTATCTAGAATTGTACCTTTGAGGAGAAAACGTGGCAATCCATTGCGATTGATTGTTATGTCCGCTACATTACGAGTGGAAGATTTTATTGAGAACAAACGTCTGTTTAAAGAACCTCCACCATTGGTTAAGGTATGTAGACTTTGATTGTCACATTTATATAAAAGGAGCTGGCACGGCAAAGTTTTGGCATGTAAATTTTTTTTTAGGGAATTTCTAGATATTACTTAAATGACTATTAAAAATACAGGTTGTTGATAGAAGGTGAAAATTTAGGGTTTATTATGTATTTTTAATGCCACTTTAAAATTATAAAATTGTCCAAAAAATAAAAAAAAGGGTCTTGACAGATGGACGGACAACAATGTGAGTCCTCTAGGAGGTAAGGGGTCTAAGTAAGGGTTCTTTTTTTTCCTGTTTTTTAAAATGTTAAGTTAAAATTATATTAAAAACTTTATTATAATAAAAATAAAAGACTGTTTTGACCTTTTTTCAATTATGTTTTTTGATTCGACCTTTTTGTGTCTTTTCAGATTGATTCCCGACAATTTCCTGTGACAATACATTTCAACAAACACACGTACAATGATTATTTGAAGGAAGCTTATAAAAAGGCAGTTAAAATACACACAAGATTGCCCGAAGGAGGAATATTGATTTTTGTAACAGGCCAACAAGAAGTAAGACAATTATATTAATACCAAATAACCTTCAAACATCTTTATAAAAATGTAGGCGATATAGTCTAACTAAGTTATCTGACCCGGTGAAAGAGGCGATGCTTTCGTTGTTAGTTCCGTCAGGAAATATATAAAACCTACTTTAGTATAGAAAACGACAAAGAAAATCATAAGACAGTACAGTACAACAATCTTGTGACACTTTTTGATATCGGGGGCGCTAGTGAGCTATCTTAATTTAATTTGATTTATGATCTAAAATGGACAAAGTAATATATGTACTCAACAATAGGGCTCTTAAGACCCCGTGGGGATGTTATGCGTTCAGTAATAAAGTTTGGAGTTCACAAATTGAACAAAAATGTAAAGACAAGGGGTTCATGATACCATTACGAAGGTTTTAAGACCTTTAGACTCCTTGTCTATGAGAAAAAAGGTGTTATACTATATTGTTTAATTTCATGTTCTATTTACAGGTAAGATATTTAGTTCGCAAGTTAAAAGCCTCGTTTCCATATCGTAAGGATGTTGATTATACCAAAGTGATAACAAAGAAGTCTGTGGGTGAAGTGGACACGGCTTTGGACTCCGAGCCCGAAGATATTGAATCTGATGATGATGAGGTCAGAATTGCTTTTTATTATAAGTTTAAAGGTGTTTTTTATAAATTTCTAATTATTACGTCAATTTTTAACCTTGTTTTGTCATTTCATGTAATAAAATTCTATTCCTATATATGAATGTTCAATTGCTAGGGATTGGTGTAAGGAAATGCAGATGCCCTCTGGCGGGATACAAAAAAGTAAAATATATAACTAGACCCCCCCACCCCACTAGACCTAGCCTAGATCACGGCGGTGTCTATGTATATACATGTTTATATACTTTGTAGGTGGAAAAAGAAATGAAGAGAGCACGCAAAGCAAGGAGAAAAGCAAAGATAAAAGCGAAGGCGTTGCCTAAGATTAATTTAGACGATTACGATATGCCTGAGGACGACGGTCAGGCGGACCTCGTGGGGAGTGATGACGATAGTGAGGGCCACTTGACTGATTCTGGTAAGTTTATATTGAGATGAAGGTTTACACTAACATATATACTTTTGTAGACAACTTTAATCCACCCTTTTTAGGTTTAAATAAATAATTATTGACTCAATGTTTTTAAACATTGCAATTGTGCGAAAATACTAAAAAAATCTAACTTCTAGCTTGTTGTTTGAGAAACCGGTCTTTTAAAAACTGAGTTTTTATCAAATAATGTAATTTATTGATAATAGGTATCGCCTGCGACTCCGTCTGCGAGAATTAAAAAAACTTAGTAGTCTGTGTTTTTCCAATCTGTTTTAGATCTATGCAAAATTTCAGCGAGATCCATTGAGATACCTTTAAATATCCATCCATCCATCCAAACACTCGCATTTATAACATTAGTAATATAATGACGAAATTAAACTATTTTTTTTTGTTTTATAATTTTAATTTAATTCGTTGTTTACATAGATAATGAAGATAAGATACTGGAGACAGAGATAAGATCATGTCGTGAACCTGTGTGGGTGTTGCCTCTGTACTCAATGCTGAGCTCGAGTAAGCAGGCGCGTGTGTTCGCGTCGCCCCCCGCCGGCGCGCGTCTCTGTGTCGTCAGTACAGACGTCGCCGAGACCTCGCTCACTATACCTCATATCAAATATGTCGTCGATACTGGAAAGAAAAAGATGCGGTAACTTTAACAAACATTATTTATTATTTATTAAAAAACAAACATTTTTTTCAGACTGTCTTGTCTTTGTTTATGTCATTCTTTATATCTGTTTGTTTTCACATATTCTTTGACAGAATTACGTCTGTGTTTTTTTATATTTCTGCCAAATTTTATCGAGATTCGTTGAATTGTTTTTGACATATATTCATAAACATGTATCCATTCATCCAAAGATTGATAATTATAATAATACTAGCTGTTTCCCGCAACTTCGTCCGTTCAGTGTTAAAAAAATTATGTTTTACATCTATGCCAAAATTCATCGAGATTTCTTGAACTGTTCTTAAGGATATCTTGTAATATCTATCCATCTATACACCCAAACATTCGCATTTATAGTATTAGTAAGATTGGTAATGATAAGAATGTGTTGTCAGTGTGTACGACCACATAACGGGTGCGAGCGCATGGCGCGTGGTGTGGACGTCGCAGGCGAGCGCGGCGCAGCGTGCGGGCCGCGCGGGACGCACCGCGCCGGGGCACGCCTACCGCCTCTACAGCACCGCCGTCTTCTCACACGACCTCCCCGACCACCACCAGCCCGACCTCGCCAGGAGACCTGCTGATGATGTCGTACTGCTCATGAAGTGTATGGGCATTGACAAGGTAACACATCTATACATCATAGTGTTGTCGTCCTCCGTCCGCTCGAAATAAAAAAAAACTAAAATAAGTAGCCTATGTATTCTTTTAGACTATGTTCTACATCTATGCAAAATTTCAACGAGATCCGATCTGCCCTTTCAGAGATACATTCAAACATCCATCCCTTTAAACTTTTGCATTTATAATATTAGTAAGACTAACTTTTTACCATGTCTTCGTCTCTAAGCTGCCTCCCCACCAATTTTTAGCCAATTCTGTTCAGCCGTTATGATGTTATAAAGTAAGAAAGTAAGAAAGTGTTATAAAATGCTTACAAAATTGTTTGAGGTGCCCTCAGGTTACATTATTAAGCAACCCAAATAAAAATTCTTTAATTTTCACTATCCAGGTAGTAAACTTCCCATTCCCGACGGCACCGGACAGACTGCAGCTGCGACTGGCTGAGAAACGTCTCCAGGTCCTCGGCATACTGGAGGAACCTCCCGTTAAGAGCAAACGTAATGACGACGAACAGGTAAATAACCCAAACTTTTTCACGTGTTATTGTCTATATAAAAATGATTTCGTTGTTACACACAATGAAATCATTTTTGTATAGATTTATAAAATACCAGGCGTCGCCCGCGACTCTGTCCGCGCAGAATTATTTTTTTTTTTTACTCAAAAAGTAGCCTATGTGTCATTCCAGACTATGTTATACTTCTATTCCAAATTTCATCAAAATCCATTGAGCCGTTCCGGAGATACCTTCTAACAAACATCCATCCGTCCACACATTCGCATTTATAATATTAGTAAGATTATTTGTAAAAATACCTCTTTCACTTTACCTAATTTTTCAATTTGAGATCTATGACGTCACAATTCTGCTATGTTCATGTACGTTCTATGTGCAGGTGTTAAAAGTGTCGCCACTGGGCAAGGCGGTGTCCGCGTTTCCATTGTTGCCGCGGTACGGCAAGATGTTAGCGCTCAGTCACCAGCAGCAACTTTTGCCATATGCCATCGCGCTTGTCGCTGCGCTCACCGTGCCCGAGGTAAGACACGTGCCCCACCCGGTAAGACACGTGCCCCACTCGGTAAGACACGTGCCTCACAACTGACACCGCTGTTTCGTTATTAGTGTTCGTAAATAGACTTTTATTGTATTTTTATTACATCAATCGCTTTGTCATTCTTTGAAATATCATTAATCTGTTACTTTAGAGTCCCTTTTATCCTATGTAAAATAGGCACAAAATACAACATCTTGTAGCCAGTCCATTTATGGAGGTCAGTGATAATAGTGTTTTTTTTTTCTTTCATGATATTGTATGTAGGTGATGAGTGGTAAAGCAGAATGTTGGCCGGCGAGTGGTGAGATGTTGCTGCTGGGAGACGCCGGCGTGCTGCTGCGTGCTGTGGGCGCGGCCGAGTACGCGCATCTCAACTCCGAGGAGGAACTCTTCTGTGCTAAACACGCCTTGAGGGACAAAGTGAGCGAGATTAACTTATATATACAATTTTTTTTATATAATATATTGACAAAATACTGTGACATGAGATAATCTGCCTTATGCTTTATTAGTTTGAACAAGATTAGCATTAAATATACCAAAGATATACGAAAAACACTAGTCTATATAAAAAGTTAAAAGTACTCTGTGGACTATATTCATAGTAAAAAATTTAAATCAAAAAATGTAATAATAAGTAATATTTTAAAGGTAAGTCATAAATTATTTATAAAGAAAAAAATTCCAGCTGTGGATGAATTCCGCCATCAGAGCTCTGTTTTAAAATCCGTCACATTCAATACGGAACATATTTTTAGAACCGCTTGAATGACGTATAAAAACTTTGACAGATGACAGCAGACCCTTGACGCTGGCGCCATCTTCTTAGAACTATCAGTTTTTTCCCACTATTTAAATGTATTGTCCAACGTATATCTTAGTTATTAATAAAAGTTATCTTACTAATATTATAAATGCGAATATTTCGATGGATGGATGGATGTTTGTTTGAAGGTATCTCCGGAACGGCTGTATGGATCTTAATGAAATTTGGCATACATATAAAGCAAATTCTGAAAGATCACATAGACTACTAAATATGTTTTTTAAATTACGTACGGACGCATTCGCTGACGATTGTTAGTTTGATTATGAATTGAAGGATTAAAATATGTTAATTTCAGGGAATCAAAGAGATACGTAAACTTCGCAAGCAACTGACATCGGAGATAAATCTGAGTGTGGCAGGTGTTGACGTCACAGTAGATCCGCACATGAAGCCGCCTGATGAGAATCAGGCCAGGCTGCTGCGTCAGCTCATGCTGAGCGGACTGGGAGATCAAGTTGGCAAGAAGATAGCCTTGAATGAAGTTAAAGACGGTAAGGTTGGCAACTTAAAAAAATACTTGGCAAAATTAATGGCGAGAAGAATTACCTCTTATTGCTTCCTATAGATGTCAACATGATCAAAATTAAAAGTAAAAAAACCAATGAGATACAAAAAGCACTGTCCTCAAGACCTCTGTGGAATGTAGTCATAACAACAACTTCCGTCAAATTTTACTGAAAAAAAAACAAAATAAGTAACGTTTTGTACAGATGACAGGTGACAGATCACTCTTGACGCCAGCGCCACCTACATAAGCCTTTCAGTTTTACTCCCCAACTAATCTTAAACTGTTGCCAGTTTAAAATGTACTCTCATTCAATACAAAAAGGTTCGCAATATTACAGGCGAGGACAAACGCAAGTTCAAATACGCGTACCACTGCGCGGAGTTAGAGGAGCCGGTACATTTGCACTCAGAGTCCATCCTCAGGCAATGCATACCTGAGTGGGTGGTGTACCAGGAGCTGTATGAAACTGGTGCGGAAGCGAGACGCAAGATGGTGATGAGGAATGTTACTGCCATTGAGCCTGAGTGGCTGCCGGTTTATGTTCCACAGTTGTGCAACTTAGGTGTGTATTTAATTTTCCAATCTATCATTCATTTATTCATTCACTCTCATCATTAACTCATTCTCCCATTCGATCACTAATTCATTTACTCATGCTGTATTCTGTAGAGATGGATATCATTCACTAATAACCAATCACCCATTCGTTTAATCATTCATTCACTTATTTGTTTTTTACTCAATCACTCATTCAGTAATCACTTATATATGATGTCATTCACATTAAGCCATTAAGTTATACCATTAACCCTGGGTTTCTGACTATGAAATTTCCGTTTAAAACATATTGCTATCACTGTTTTGTCAAAGATAAAGACAGGGTGATATGTTGTATACAGAGACTTTGGTGTCAGAAACCTACGGTTAGGTATTACAAACCCATTATTAAAATACTCATTGATTAGTTCGTTTTTTGATTTACTCATTCAATTGCTCATTCACTCATTGATTCTGTCGTGACGCAGGTGAACCATTAACAGACACAGAGCCGAGATACGATGAAATCTCTGGTCGTGTGAGATGCAGCTTCAAAGGAACTTTTGGAAAGGCTTGTTGGGAACTGCCCGTTGTTGAGATTGATTATCCAGACAAAATTGAACGATACAGGTAACTCAGAGATGACAATTGGTTACTTATGGTTAGTTTCCGAGACCTAAATCTTTGTATAAAACATATCGAAAAAACAAAGATAACGATGTTTTATACATTTGGTCTCAGAAATCCACTATAAGAAGGATTGTTAGTGATTTAATTTAAGTAATATACTTACCGTGGGTTTCTGAGTCTGAAATCTTTCTATAAAACATATTGATATCTCTGTGTTGTCAAAGTTAATGACATATGACGATATGATTTATACAGATATTTTGGTTTCAGAAACCTACGATTAGTGAGTCAAATCAGTTACAACATTTCTGATGTTTATTTTTTCAGATGGTTCGCAAGATTCTTACTAGAGGGCGTTGTGTTTCCTAAGTTAAAGAAATATTCAAGTAGTTTGTTGTCACCTCCTTCCACGATGGTGAAGAGTTGGGCCAGGCTGCAGCCGCGCACTGAACTGCTGCTTAAAGCACTTATCATGCGCAGAGCGGGCACCAGACAACAACTTAGAGATGCCTGGGAGGATAATCCTAAGTGTAAGTTCTAAACATTAAGTCTACACTTGTACACTACGATAAAACTTCCTATGACGTCACAACGGGCTATTAAAAAAATTCAAATAAGAATGTTCGGTTCGAAAATTCCGATCTGATAAAAATTGTCAGAACATAAAAATGCGTAAATTGAACTTCCACTCGGATAATTAAACATTAAATATTACAGTTGAATCTGGATATGCGGAGAATCTCTATAACCGAGTCATTGTCCGGACCTGGATGACCTCCATAAGTGAGAAACCTGTATGAAGGAGAATAATCGTGATCGTTTGACTCTCGCTTATCCTTCGACTGTATTTTATAAATATTTTGTTTTATTTGTTTGCTTGTCTTTATCTCATTTGCTTATTTGAAACTAACTAGTAATTAAAAATCAGTTACAACTCGATCAATAGCGGTTTGTTGTTATCTTATCTTACTTCTAACATATATGAAACAACTTCTAACATATATGAACTATACATATATGAAAGTTTGGATGTATGGATGGATGTATGCTTGTTGGAAAATATCTCCGGAATTTGGCATATATGTAGAACATTGCCTGGAAGAACACATAGGCTAATAATGAAGTCTTATTTACATCCCGCGCGGACGGTGTCGCGGGCGACAGTTAGTGGCATTATAAATGTGAATGTTTTGGATGTATGGTGATGGATGTTTGAAGGAATCTCCAGAATGACTGCACGAATCTTGCTGATATTTAGCATAGATGTAAAAATACGCTAACAATTAAGATTTTTTTTAATTCCGGGCGCAAGGAGTGGCTCACAGCTAGTAATTTCATTTGTGGGTTAACAATATTGTATTTTATTACAGATTTATTGGACGAATACATGAAATGGCTGCCCGAATCAGCGCACAACGAAATCACTCTGTACTGGCCCCCGATATAATTGTTTATGACAAACAATTTGTAAATAGTGTAAATAAATATCGTAATAAAAAAGATTAAAAAAGTTATTATACTTGTACATCACCAATTATTTTTAAATTGTTAAAAAATTATTTCTTTTATTCAAAGATAACAACAGCGATGACGTACAAAAAAACTAATTTTAACAAATTTTACTTATGGTTTCCGAGACCAAAATCCTTGTGTAAAACAGTCATCTCATTCTTTAACAAAACAGAGATTTGTTCAAAGATAATGAGAGGGATGTTATCAAACAATATGTTTAATTTTATACAGATATTTTGGTTTCGGTAACCAACGATTAATGTACTAAAATCTATATATAAAATTCTCTTGTCACAATGTTAGTTACTCTCCTCCGCAACTGCTTGAGCTCGGCTGCTACCTATTTTTTAACAAGCGCAGGCGGAGTCGCGGACGACAGCCAATAAATTAATAAATTCTTAACGAGATAGTCTAACCTAATTAACTTAACTACTACAGGTCTAACGAGTTTACTGATATAACTGTATATTATTTTCACTATCGTCCTTACATTACGCATAATATTAAGTTTTCTTCATTAGGAAAACTACAACTCCTTAAAATATAACATACATATTACAAATCTAATGACTAGGCAAACTAAGAGTCACATAAAGGACAAAGAGTAGTTGCTAATTACCTTTATATATGGACAGTACACAAAACTCACGCCTCACCCAGAAAGGTAGGCAGAGACCACGGTCCTCTATTTGGAGTGGCCACATGAACCTGTACAATCCACTTTATTGTTGCTGCTGAGCCATAACTCGCTGGTTGCTGGGCATAGTCGTCCCCCAAAGATCTAGGATTTTATATAGGGTTACTTGAAATTGTTTTAGTTTTTAAAAAGTCAACTAAAATGATTAAACTCATAGTTTGCATGTCTGAAGCGAGCAATATCAGATTTTAATAAATCTGTGATTAAATTGTAAAGGTAAAATTGTTAAGATATGTTTGCCATTATTTCACAGAATGACGATAGAGATTCATAAAAAAAAATCATTAAAAAGTAAAAATCAAAATAATAAAATGATTAAACAGTCACACACAAAAAACCCACTTTACCCGTTTCTATCGAAATAATAAAACTTAAAGATACTCCAAAGTTTTTATGTTCTAAACGAAAATATCGTCAGTCGGACAAGAGACCTCATATGGGACGGTCTTGTTTTGTTATAACAATGTTGCGTGTTATAACAATATTTTTAATATTTACCCTAATCGGTGGTGCTACAGTCAAAAAGGCGAATTACAAGTTGGACATCATACATTACAATGATTTCCATGCAAGGTAACTTAATTTTATTTACGAATTAATTAATTGCTTCTATTCAGAGTTGACCTGGTTAGTATAATTAAGATAGTAATTACAACAGCACACAAATATATTTTTAGTTATTTAATTTGATCGTAGATTAGAAAATATTTTTCTTTATAATCCGAGGACATGAAGCGAATTTCGTTCATTTCCTTAAGTCATTTTTATAGAATAATATTTAAATAAATCTTTTATATTTGGTAATTAAAACATTTCAATAAATTACAACGTTAGGCACCTAATCCAAAATTTAAACCCAGACCTTCAATTTTAACTGAGTAATAGAACTGTACAGTTAAAAGTTACGTGTTTAGGCAAGGCCGATGTTGGCGCTTTCGGCGCCTGGGCAGACGCTCTCAGATTTGCCAATACAAGAATTTTTACCGTACAGTTTAACTGCGCAGTTTAAATTGAAAGTGTGTAACGTTTAATTCCGGCTCACTGCTCACCTCACCTTCTGTATATGCCACATGAATCATAAATAACAAACCCAGGTTAAGCCCGACTTAATGAAATCGGTTCGAGATTTTAATACGAGTACGAAAAATGAGTGCAATGACAAATCGGAAACTAACACAGAACGTTCGTTATCGATTCCACTTTGATCGGATTGCCTTATTGCGTTTTTACATTATAAAAGCCTTTGTTTATTTTCTAAAAAACGACAGGGATGCCAATATTGTTGGAACACTGGTTTAACGACAGTGAAAATTCAGTTATTGTGGTTTTCGACTTGTACTGCTGTCTCTGGTTTTTTCAAGGAGAATATGCGGGAAAACAATATATATTATATATTAAAGTGTAACAGCAGTGATAACCCACAATTAGACTGAACTTTTACTTCACTGATAATTATACATAAAGAGTACTGTCCGAGTAGTCTGTAAAGTTGAAAGTTGGAACACAGATACTGTGGGCCTAGCACGAATATTTGCAACAATCGCCTTCGTATGAGCATCGTCAATCATGTCAAAATTAGTGCGAGATTTTTGGTGTATTTTACGCCCGCTAGGAGGCACTGTACAAACTTTAATACAAATTTTGTCAATGATGACACGGTGGCGCATGTCACAGTTATTCGTGCTAAGCCGACTATTAAATAGACCACTAAGCTGTCGTACGCTCATTAATTAAAATCTTATGCCTTGATTATATTTAGATGCAGCAATCAATGTTTATATTTACGTAAGAAAACATATTCATTATCAATATCTCTTGACGTGATAATTAATAATTATGAAATTATTTTATAACATTAACTTTTATCTTACAATTATCTATATTAACATCATAAAGAGGAAAGTGTCGTTTTGTTTTTGGTAAGTAATTAATAAACTTAAAAACTACTGGACTGGAGTCGCGGGTGATAGCTATTTATTACATACACAATGAGTGACTCAACTAAAATTGATGACCTTGACATGATCTTACAAGTGTTCGAATTTGTGCCTAGAATTTTGATTTCTGTTTCAGCTGCGAGATGCATGTTACCGATCACTACGAGATGTAAGCGCGCGGTCAGTTTAAATAGTATATCGCATTGAGCCGTGAGTCGCCAATATAATTGTTGATCTGCAGCTCAACCGTTCAATCGTATGTGAGCTGAATTCTTGAATCGACTCAGAGCTGATTTACACGCGTCTAGTCACTCTCGATCATGCTGACATCTATAGTGAACAAAAAGCAGTTTTTCTTCCCATTCAAATGATATTTACTTCCATAAAAACCTTTTATAATATTGGTATTCACGGTAACTTTAGTTTTGACAACGATATGTTTTCTTTATCAGTGCTGAAAATATATGAAAAACTGAAAGCAACATCTTCAAATTATTAAAAAGAAAATAATTTGTTACATTACACTAATATTTTTAAAACACAAGTTTCTCTATTCTGAAGGACACGTAAAGAAAGAATATATTCAGAGAGTACCTTGACCTCTCGTTATTTCGTTACTCATTGTAGGTATTATCTAGTTGTAGCCGAGGCATACGTCAGTTGTTCGTCGATCATGAACAACGAAGGTCGCCACATCAATCCCTTTGTAGATATGTTCGCGTTAAAATGGTTTGTGTCAGTGGCGTTATTTAGTTTGGTAGATGGATTCGCATTACCCTTCGAAGGATTATACGAATTGGATATTATACATTACAACGATTTCCACGCAAGGTTTGTTTTCATTCTTTAAGAGTTTATAAACAAATCGATTTAGTGCGAAATAGTAACAATGTGCTGAAAGGAAATTATCGGACTGCTTTTTATGTTATTAAGACATTCCTGTAATTAGATAAAGAGGATATATGTAAGAAACAAGTAAATGTAAATTATGACGGCAGATGTTTAAATGGAAGATTATGTTTCCAAATCTACATAGGACAAAGAGTAATAATAAAATTTAATATCTTTCAACTCAAAAATTCCTTGTATCTTATATGAATATATTTTTTCTTCTAGAGACAATAGTAAGTAAAATTGCAAATATTGTTAGTCGTCAATTCAATTAATTCGTTAATCTACAAATCAAATTTTCGTCAACATGACTTGCTTCTATAGTGCGACAATGTTATCTAGGTCGGTGAGGGAGGCGCGGCTATCACGTTTAGTTCTGTCCAAAAATATAAAAACATAATTATAGTGTGTCTATTTAAGATAGATTAGTTTGACAACTGACGCCTATAAAATATCGAATTAATTTTGTATGAGGAATAATGTTGTACTTCTTGGACGGTTGTCATAGTGTCGAACCGTATGCGCATTACGATCAACTACGAACTATCGAGAATCGGTCTTGTAATAAATCGGACAAATAAATACTATAACTTATGTATTTCATTACTTTTTGAATTTATTTCAGATATTTGGAAATGTCTCGCGTAATTAACTAAAAAACGTTAAAACAGTTCTTTTTGTTTCCCAACATGTCAATTTTTGGTGTGAGATTTTATTTTTTTACATAGTTTTGAAGAATAAAGTTGGCATAAAAAGAAACAATTTTATTTATGTTGTGTTGTATAAAACACGTTAACGATACGAAGGCGGTTGTCACAATATTCGTGCTAGGCCCACAGTACGTAAAAGATTTTGTGACACTTTTTAAGTATTGTTAGGGGAGCGTTAGGAACCTGTCATAATAAGAATTAAAATGATATTTAATTCACGCAATATATCGGCGTTTATAAATATGCAACCGCTGCGGTTTTGAACAAAATGTCCAAACTATGCTCTACATGCATGAGTTGAGCCGTTCTCGAGTTAACTTTAAACAATCAGCCATCCATCCATCGATCTAAACATTCACATTTATAATATTAAGATAGTAAGAAGTAAGATAATACGATTAGAAAGATATAATAATGTTTATCTAACCAATCGAATTGAAAATAACCAAAGAAAAAAATCAAGTATTCTCTTCTTTAAGATTTTATTAGGTAATTTTCTTCAGTTAAACATAATTCATACAACATGTCTATTATATATTATTTACGTGTCGATTATAATATAACAATAAGGATAGTAATTACAACATTGATGTACAACGCAATTAGTTTTCTACACTTCTAAAGTATTCAAAACAATAAATTATACAATAATATAGTATATTTAGAATACTGACTCAATCTATTTTAAACAACAATTCTTCCAGAATGAAGGAAGTGTCGTATTACGTGTGCCTTTGTGCCAATAGAAACCAATTGCTATTCAATGTGTTTGTGAATGTGATAAATGACAAGTACATGGAATTAGATCGCTTAAGCTACGTCCACACTAAATCTTACATGTACGTTTTGCTTTTACCTCTAACAACTGCCGAAATATATTGCTATCTTTGTTTTATAGTCCGGTCAAATAAGAATCAGAAAAGAGAGTTTAAATCGTACATATAATTGAAAACAAAAATATAGATTGTGATAGTGAAGCTATAATAATTGGGTTAGAGCTAAAAATTGTTACAAAAGTTCCGGCTACCATTATAAGATAAGCCAGAAAAGTCTATTTTAATCCGGTATATGAAAAAAAAAATTAAGGTGAAAGGTGACCTTTGGGGGTTTTTGACGTTTTTCAGCAAAATTATAAGTTCTATCATAAATATCACCAGAAGGTATCAACAGGGAAAACCCAAGAAAAGATTAACAGGAAGTTCACTTCACATTGGTGAAGAAAAGGTATCAAGCCTAGTTAGTAATTGCAAATCATTAAGAAGCCTTGCTTGTTTATTTTCCTCACTAGCTGCATGGCTTGCGCGAAAATAAAAAAAAAACTTAATTAGTAGCCTACGTGTTCATCCAGACTATGTTCTACATCTATGCCAATTGTCAATAAGATCCATGGAGCCGTTATGTAAATACCTTCTAACAAACATCCATCCCTTGAAATATTCGCAATTATAATACTACTAAGATAATGAATTATTTAATAGGTATGAGGAAACATCAGTGGATACTCCTACATGTCACTTCAACAACGGATCGTGCTTGGGCGGCTTCCCGCGCCTGTACAGCGAGATAATGCAGCTGAGGAAAGAGAAGCCGAATTCCTTGCTGCTAAATGCTGGAGATAGCTTCCAGGGCACCTACTGGTACACATTACTTAAATGGAACATCACTCAGGAGTTTATGAATTTGTTGCCTCATGATGCACATGTAAGTAATTGTCTCAAGACTTTAAACTAAATGTAGGGCCGGTTTTAGTTATTCCGGCACCATGAGCGTGATTTTTGCCGCGTCCCATTTTTTTTTTGAGTGTAGGGCAAATTTTCAGCGCCTTTTTACAGCCAACTCTGGCGCCTGTGGCACCCCCTTGTGACCGGCGCCGTCACCTCGTATAAGAAGGCTTAGATGGCGATTGCGTGAAAGGTCATATTATTAACAATGCAATAACTGAAAACTTGATAAATACATTTGAAAGACGAAAGTTAATTGTGTCTAGATAACTAGGGGACGGAAGTGATGAGATGAGCACCTTATCATGATTATTTATTCCTTGTTATACAGGCAATAGGTAATCACGAGTTCGACGATGGTCCGGAAGGTCTCGCGCCGTACCTCAGAGCGCTTAAGGCACCAGTGCTTGCCGCCAACATGGATGTCAGCAAAGAACCTTTGCTACAAGATTTGTTCACACCGCACATTATTGTGAAGCGTGGCGGCAGGAAGATTGGCATTATCGGCTTAATTACTACTGATACTAAGGTATTTATTCTCTACGATACGATTCAATACTTTCTTTGTCTTCTTTATAACCTCAGGAATCTACTGCACTAAAGAGTACATTAGACATGACACTAACTACTATGACAAATAGCACTTTTATCCTAATGTCATTGCTTACACGAGTTTTGCGTTTGTGTTGGAAAGAATTAACGTCATCTTTCTAATAATGAATGTATCATACGAACAAAGAGTGCATTCAATCGAAATCGTTTAACGCATTACATGAGATAAAATGTTATTGTGTCTTTGTCTTATATCAACGTCTTACTTCTTATTAATACGAATATAAATGAGAATGTTTGGATGGAATGATGGATGAATGTTTGTTAGAAGGTATCTCCAGGACGATTGGATGGATCTTGCTGAAAGGCATAGATGTAGAACATAACCTTGAAAGAACACATAGATACATACTAAGTTTTTTTTAATTCCGTGTCAACGGAGTCGCGTGTGACAGCTATTTATGCATAATAAATAATAATGTCACTACTTGGAACAACCTCGCTTCTTCAGTAATAGTAGTTTGAATATGATATCTAAAGATGAGTTAAGGACGTTAATACGACCTCGTTGTAATCGAACATTAATTAAATAGGTTTTTATTAGTAATTACATTTAATTTTAAGTTGGAAAGACCTTAGATATTGTTGAGCAGATTATACCACACACTACATAAAATGTTTTTGACTTTGTTTTCAGAAATTGTCATCTCCTGGTAACGTTGTGTTCACGGACCCATTGGAGGCGACAGATCGCGAAGCAAAGCTGTTGACCGACAAGGGAATAGACATAATCATTGTACTGTCACATTGCGGACTTGAAATGGATAAGTGAGTGATTTTAATATTAAATTTAGTGCTTATTGGCGACCTTCATTAGAGGTTAAAGTTGAATTTCAACAATGCATTTACTCTATCATATAATAAAATAGTAAAAAAATATCATCCTTTTATTAGCAGTTCTATTTTGTAATTTCAATCACTACCCAGTTTCCACTGTAAAAATATATATTACAAATTATGTCTTTCCCCTCTTTGAAAAAAAAGAGGTATGTATGTGTTTTTTATTTGTCCAGATGTCTGTGAAAATTCACGCTTAATTTAAACAAAGTGTCAAAGATTAGTTAACACCAGACGGAAGGTTCCCTCTATCTTATCGACAGAATGTGTCAAGAATGTGTCTTTAATATAAATACTCGTAAGAGCGGTTACAACAGATATTTATCACATGAAATGATCACGCATATTATTACGCCGATTGACAAACGATAAGATAACATCTTAGTACTTTAACTTGTACAGCATTGAATGCATAATCTGTATAATACTATTTTACGATATTACTAATAATAGCTGTAAGATTTATTCGAAGTTCAAAACAAAGAATTTTTAAACAGAGATTATCTCTTACCCAAGTTATGTTACAGGCAGAGATTGGATATGTGTAAACTAGCTTTTGCGTACGATTTTGTATAGTTGTGTATAGCAGATAAAACTGCTGCGGATTATTACTTACTATGCTGGCGGAGTTTAACAGTGGTAGAGCCCGCTTTAACATTTTCGCACGCATTGGCTCGGCTCACCCGGTGAAATACCACGACCACACAGAATACAGGCGTGAAGTGGAAACAATTCCGCGTTTCGTCTGATGAGTATGCGTCCCGGAGGCCTAATTTAGTCCTCTTTCCCTTCCCACCCTTTTTCTTATAAGAAAAGGATGGGAAGTGGAATTGGACTTTCCGGATGAGAGGATGCATGGAAAGGGAAAATATTTTCTCTCTGTGCATCCTTTCCTCCGTCCATTGCGTATGTCTATGGGCAACGGTCACTTCGCTATTTCAACGATTTCAGGTCGCTCGCTCGTTAGCCACCTTAGGATATAAAAAAGTAACCTTAAGTTGGTCTTGGCCTCCGACACAACAGATTGCCAGAGTCGCCTGCGCCGTTCCCTGTCAGTTCATCGCTTGTAACTCCCGCAAGTTCAAGGTGTCTCGCCACCGGTATCTCATGCTACGAATTGATTGTTAAATTATTTTACAGGCAAATCGCACGTGAACACGGCAAGCATGTAGACATAATAATTGGTGGTCATTCACATTCCTTACTGTGGAACGGACCGGCACCCAGCGGTGAAAAAGTTGAAGGACCTTATCCCGTTTTCATAGAAACTAGCAAGGAAAAGGAACACCAAGTAAGTTTAAAAACTTTATTAAAAAATAAATGAAATAACTTTCTTTAAGACGGTGCATAAAAAGTTATTAATGTGAATGATCGATTGGTTTTTTCTGACTATTGAAATCTCTTGACTTGAAAAAATTGCCAAAAAAAATGATTGAGATTGAATTTTGTGTTCAGCAATAAATAAACACATGACTAAGTTCAATGTTATTTGTTTTCTAGGTTCTGATAGTGCAAGCGTCAGCATTTACGAAGTACATGGGTAATCTGACAGTTTATTTCGACTATCTAGGACGCTACGTCAAGTGGGAAGGCGGGCCAATATTCCTTGACCGTTCTATACCTGAAGGTAAATGTACGAGTAAATTACAACAAACATGTAAACTACATAGATCATTGACCTCTATCTATTTTATTTATGCTACTTCTTCGTACATATACATTTATACAAATAAATTATGGATAAAAGTGTGTTTTCATTGCCAATATATCTATAATAAAACATATTTTCATCTCTCACGTTTTCTTTGAAAAAAAAAGAGATAAAAATATATGATTTATACATACATATACAAAATATGTTATGTTATAAAACATTAACATACAATAAAGTTTGTGATAGCCAATATTCAAAATAATTTGTTCTTTCTTTAATTATATAAATAGCTATTAGCTTAACCCTTATCTAGCAACAAAATTCGTGATAACCTTATGTTAAGAATGTTTGATTAGAGTCTACTGCATAAGACAGCACGAGGAAAATTCATTAAATAAAATAATCAACGTTAGAATTGCTATCTCATCATTTTGTTTGAAAAAAACTGAGATGACTATATATAAGTGGCAATGGATAAGTACTAACGGCTACCTTTCGTAAGTCTGTAAAAATCGACTATCAAGTTTACGCGCCAAACAACTCGCCTGCCAATTTTTTTTAATATTCTTATTGTAAACGAAGAATTACAAGCAAATAGATTTTAATCGTATTAATTTTCCAGATGAGAAGATAAAGAAGAAGTTGGAACCTTATGCGAAACTCGTTCACGAAGCGGAGAATGTTCCTGTGGGTGAAGCAGTGAGGACGTTGAATGCTGATGATTGCGTATTCGGTGAATGTACGATCGGTGATCTACTGGTGGACGCATTGACTGATTACGTAAGTACCAGCGATCGCTTGCGAATCAAATTAAAGTAAAATCAGAATTACTAGCCTTCGCTGCATTCCAGACTATGTTTAACACGTATGCCAAATTTCATCGAGATCCGTTCAGCCGTTCTGTAGATACCTTCAAACAAACATCCATCTATCCATCTCAACGAGATTACTATGAGTTGCGACAACATAGTAACTTTGTATTTACACATATTGTCTTCTCACACATTCTCATAGAAAATACTGAGATAACAATATCTGTGAACAACTATATGGCAATTTGGGGCCGCAAGCATATCTCCTCAGAGAAGTCGAAGACGGAAGAAAGCGTGTGCAATTGTATAGCCCGCATCTGTATAGGCCCTGTCGATATCTAATATTTGTGTATAGTTTATCTTAATGTTTTCTTTTTTCTAGGCTAAAGCGAATGTAAAAAGCGATTACGATCATCTGGCGTTCATTCAGCGCGGTAACATCAAAGCCTCAATATTAAGTGGAAGTGAGTACCTTTCTAAAAATTTATTAATTTGAATTAAACCTCCGTATATTTTCACTCCATATAGTTTCTTGGCCGGAATATTGCAGAAGTAAGTCGTTGAATGCGTGATGCGTCCATCTTAAGTCTGGCTATTGTCTGTTTTTATTCACAACGAGCGGAATAGACGTGCCTAATCTTATTACTGTGAGATGGGTTTACATGTTGATCACAAACTGTTGCAGAAATAACAAAGGGAACGATCTTCGATGTTCTGCCGTTCAAAGACCGCGTAGTGACATTCGAACTCCAAGGGAGATATGTGCGAGAGGCGCTGGAGCGAAGTGTCATTGAGGCGTGGGGCTTAACACCCTTTAAGGGTCCATGGTTACTGCAAGTATCAGGTAATAACGAATAAAATATTACACAATTAGAATAACACTTATAGTAACACGTAAACACACTGACCTCTATAATTGGACTGGCTATAAGTCATAGTATTTTGTGCCTATTTGATTTTCGCCATTTTAGCGCTGATGGTAGCGATTTGTAGCGGTGATGTGTATTCGAACTAAATAAAGATAGAATTAAATGTCACATTCCATCAAAAATTTAAAATCGGTTAAATCGGAAACGAAAACTGTCATTTAGAAGCAATCGACTATCTATTTATAGAGATCAGCGAAGTTAGACAAAGTGCATTCGCTTCGAAGCGATTCAATGACGAATTCAAAAGTGTATGCTAATCATCCGCGATAAACACGTGATTTATCGAAAGTTATTATCAGTTATATACATTTTTGAAATTCGTTATTGAATCGCTTCGAAGCGAATTCACTTCGTCTACCTCAGCAGTACAGTCAATCAGTCAAATCAGTCAAAGTGAAGTAACAAAAGAAAAAAATACAATAAGTGTTTAATAGAAATATTATTATTTTTGATTCCTATTCAGTTAATTACCTTATTCTTAATATAGTACGTTTCATACAAAAAATAAAAATTACACAAAATATATTATATTTAAAGTAGAGCACCACCGGTTGCGGAGTCCCATGACTCAAACAACCAGTAGTCAGGGCTGCAGTGACAGGAACCTTCTCATGATTCCCGCGGTACATCATTATTGTCATTTATATTTGCTATGTTTCAGGTCTTAATGTAACGTACAATATAGCGTTACCCGAAGGTCAGCGTATTGTGTCAGTGAACATTGGCAACTCAGGAGCCATATTGGACGATGATAAATATTATCAAGTGACAATGCCCGCTTACTTAGCCGATGGTGGGGACGGTTTCACGGTGAGCATTTTTTTTACTTTAAAAAAAAATATTTTATTATGTAGAAATAATTATCGTCAACTAACTGTCGCCCGCGACTCCGCCCGCGTGAAATGAAAAAATAATTAATTAGTTCCCGGTAATTATTCGAATGTTTTCAGACCTTTTAAACCTTCCCTAGACCTTCACAAACATTTCAAGACCAAGATAAGATAAATCCGTTCAGCCGTTCTCAAGTTTAAGCGAGACAAACAAAAAGCAATAGATTTAAAAAATATATGATACATATAATATAATACGAATTATTTGTTTCAGATGTTCCAAAATGGAAAGAAAAATGTTAAAATAATTGGTCGCGATGAGAGAATCTTAGAAATTTATATAAATAAAAATTCTCCTATCGATATTAGGACGGACGGACGAATAGAGATTCTACAGTGATATATACGTAGTTAGTGTTGATTTCATAAGATAATAACATAATAATAATTGTAAAGTAATATTACTATTTAATTGAATGTGCTCAAAACATAAATGTTATATTCGAAATATTTTTTTTATTATAATAAAGAACCAACATTTAAAAAACTAAAACTAGTAAGAGGTTATGTATTTTACAAGTGTTTTGGTAATGGAAACTCACGGATATAGAATCAATCATGCAGCTCTATATTATATTCTCTGTATAGTTGCTATAAAAGACACCATTGTAAAGATAATTATAAAAGACTTAGTACCTCATTTAATATAATTAATTTCAAATGAAATTGACTAAGTTTAACAGTGGTATGCGCCAGCAACAACAACTTATGTTGCACGAATTATACTCGCCCCGTGCAATCCAACGACCACCCAGAAGACACGCTCTAGCGTACGTGTCATAGGCCTTATATTAATCATCATTTCCTTCCCAACCTTTTCTTATAAGGATAGGATGGGAAAAGAAGAGGATTTGAAGGAGGTGTGAACGCATAAAAGGGAAACATATTTTCCTATGCATTACCTCCCTCTATCTATGTGCATGTTTACGGGCAGGGATAGCTTCGCTATTTCAGTGAAATTGGGTGTCCGCTTGCTATCTTATAGTATAAGAAATAAGTTTATTTTAAATAAATTACACAGACTAAAAGAACCAAAAAAGTCAATAGAGTCGTTTTCTGCCTACGCATGGTAATGTAAACTACTAATTTTAATTTGTAAATAATGCTTTATATAATAAAAGTAATTTTTTTTCTAGTTAACATGTTGTTTAATTTCGTTATACATGATGTATTTGGGTTGTAGATATCGAAAACCATTTTATTACAATTTATATCTGTCTGTCTATTTGCCTGTCTGTCCTCCTTGTTTAATTACATGCAGACAAAGTCGCGTACGATCGCTAGTATTTATTATAATTGATGAAAGGTTTTCTCTCATTATTCTATAATAATGATTCTATTAAAAATCAATTAATCTTTGATAATACGAAAAGTTGGTTGTATAAATAACAATATAAACTGTTTAATAATTAGTTCAAATGAATTATATAAGATAACAAATATTATGGTCTAATTGAAGTAAAACAAAATTTATTTTAATTACAAGCATTGTTCATATGCATTAGTTGTAGTCGAACCGCAGTTGTGTAATCAAGTGCTGTTATTTATTGATATATAAAATATTTAACAATGTATTTACTATGGGAAATTATCGTGTTCCTTTTGTGTATAAAATCTGGGTTTACTTTTATTATGAAATATGAAGGGCTTTATAAATTGGATATCATTCATTTCAATGATTTTCATGCAAGGTAAGTAGCTTCTGACATTATTTTTTGACCCAAAATCACAGCAGAGGTAGAGTCCGCAATGACCACCCTGACCGTCGAAGAATTGCGATCACATAAAAGACAAGTAGAAGTAGTTAATTTTATCCTAAGGTGACAAACGAGCAAGCCACTACCTGAATTCGCCAGAGTGACGAAGCGACTCTTGCCCCTAAACAACCGCGATTGTAGACACTTTGCCAAAATATTATCGAAAGAGAATTTCCCTCCTCCATTAAATCCACATTACCTTTCCATCATTATATTAAAAGAAAAAAAAGCGAAGGGAAAAGGACTAAAATTAGACCTCCGGAACGAACACTTAACAGGCGAAACGCGGCTTTTATTCCACTTTACGCCTGTCTTTTGTGAGGTTGTGATATTGCACCGGGAGAGTAAGTCCATTCGTGCAACAAAAATTATTGCTGGTGTCTACCACTGTGGTATTATTCGATTGATCTGATAAGTTATCTGATATTAATTTAAGTCATGTCTGATGCAAAAGGATTTGAGGATGGAAAAGATAGGGAACCGATTTATCTTTATCAAAATAATTTAGCTAAACATGGTATTTTAAGATTCGAAGAAACGTCGCCTGTTACTCCTATCTGCCGCTTCAACAACGGCTCTTGCTTAGGCGGGTTCCCGCGCTTGTATACTGTGGTAACTGCCTTAAAAGAGAAGAAGCCACAGTCTATTTTATTAAATGCTGGTGACAGCTTCCAAGGCACCTACTGGTATACTCTACTAAAGTGGAATGTCACCCAAGAGTTTATGAATCTATTACCTCATGACGCACATGTAAGTTCTAATTATTACCAATAAAAAATATCGCTTTTATTATTCTTTTATCGAAAGTATCAAGTTCTGATATGACTGGCTTCTGTCCTACCATTGTCAATAAATATTAGAACATATTAGGATCAATGTTTTCGTCCAGTTATAACTTAAAACAGAATTATGAATAGACTGATTTAGTTTCAAGTTTTAGTATTAAATATATTCTTAGCTACCTATGTAAAATGTTATGCGAATTAAAATGAAAATTACTGAGAAACAGTAAAAAAAAATATTACACGCACTTCCTTGTTATCTTTTCTTTGTAACGAAATCTCTAATTAACTCTACCAAACAAAGACATTTAAATATAATAATAGAAAAATAGCTGATGATATTTTGTCAAAGAGATTTTAGTTATGCATTTACATCCATATTTCAGTACAAAATAAACTAGAAGCAACTAGTTCAAGGCTTGGCTAGGCTACTTAATTTGTATTTTAAATATTTTAGGCATTAGGTAACCATGATTTTGACGATGGACCGATGGGTTTGGCGCCTTACATCTCTGCTCTCAACGCTCCCGTTGTGGCCGCGAATATGGACTCTACCAGAGAACCAGTATTACGTAATCTCTATGAACCTTATGTTATTTTAGAAAGGAGTGGAAGAAAGATTGGTGTTATTGGTCTTATTACTCCAGATACTAAGGTTTGTAAAAACACAGTAAAAGTAAATATGAAGAAGTACAGATAACTTTTTTAATAAAAAATATCTTTGATCGAATTCAGAACAATGGGCCACCTCTAGTATTAATACACTTATAATAAAATAATCGTGACTAATATTAACCTTCTTATCATTAGCGTATTTTTTAAACTATTAAATCATGTCAACGTGGTCTATTTACAATAGCTTATAAAACGTTCAACATAAATAATAATATTATTTTGGCGAATTGCGCAGTCTACACTCTAATACCTTTAATTTTCTTTTAAAAAAGACACATCAATATTAGGTTTTAACAATTCCTTAGCAACGGAATTTTATGGTTAGAATATATCAAATCAAGGCTTTAATTGATTATTATCATCCTTTGCTTCCCACTGCTGGACATTAAATTACCCAATGCCTTCGATTATTAAACGTCTATATAAGTTTACTTAAATCAGAATATTTTATATTGTCTGTATCCTAAATAATTTGTATGTTTAACTTACATTATAACACCTGTATAAGTCTGACTATAAAGAAATGTATTATTTGCTTAACCCGATGGAATAACCTCAAAAAATATTTTGTTAAAACATTAGCTCAGTATTCAGTAAATGTAAAATGAGTGTATCATGTATAACATGACACGAATCAGAATGTAAGGCATGCAGTTTTTTTTTTTTATTAATTGTTCAACATGAAGTTATATAATAAATAAAAACATAACATAAAGTTATAAACTTCTCGAAATCACAAAACTCAAATTTACATGTATTACAAAAATTGTTTGGGTTTAATTTCTAAATTAGTGAAAAATGAGTTCAAATCTCCCTTTTTTCTGTTGCTCAATCGTTTTTCGTTGTCCAATCTTTTCGAGTATATTCGAAATTAAGAAATCGTTAACTTTAGAGTCATTCGAATTATATTCGTCCCCTGAGTGCAGTCAGTCATGTTTTTTCTTTTTTTTTCTTTAATTAAATTATTTTTCCAGACATTATCATTTACTGGTAATGTTGAGTTCAGTGATCCGTCAGAAGCAACGCTACGAGAAGCTATTAAGTTAACGGAGATGGGAATAGACATTATTGTGGTTCTCTCACATTGCGGATACGATGTTGATGTGTGAGTATTGTTATTACTAAACGTTTTAAATCCGACACATAAGAGTTCCGTTTTTTTCCTTCCTAGGTACGGAACCCTAAAAAGTAACATAAATGATATTATACAAAAAAGAGTACGAGCGTAGAGTCTGCAGATGTAGTTTGTTTTAATAAAAGAAACTACTTGAATTTGCAAAAAAATACTGTTGTTAAAAGTAAATGTTTGCACATACAATGGAAAATGTTTGTCTGACTGTTCTAAATATTGTTTACAGATGAGTAATACAAACATTAAAATGATTAAAGTATTCTGTTGATTTCAAATAACTAAAATATACATAAAAATCTTTCCAAATAATCTCTTGTAATTCACAATTTGTTTAATACGAACATGTCACATAAAACAGAACACGATTTACCATTTAGTAAACCTATTTCCAATCTCATTTAAAACAATTAACTCATTTAAAGCAACTCCATAACAGATGGTGTCAGACTCGATAGCCATAGTAAACTATAATGCTGTTCGCACACGACGTGAAATTAGGTACTTAAAGACAATTGTAATTGCACTAATATATTAAGTTATATTGTTTAATTACCGTAGAATTTCACTGGCATGACTTTGGGAGTGATCTACGAAAGGGATCGATATACCGATGCAAGGGTAATGGCAGTGGAATTATACGGTTATAGTTACTTTTGTCCGCAGTGCATTGGCACGGGAACATGGGCAATATATTGACGTCATTGTCGGCGGTCACTCGCACAGAGATGAATCATTTTTCACACCCTATCTCACGGTTGTCGAAGCAGACCATGACAAGAGTAAAAAGGTAAATACCGGATTTATTTTACGACAGTTACATTAATATTAATAAAATTAGATGGCGCTAGTGGTGTTTTAGAACGTGCTATAGACATGTAGACACGTGAGACGGTTCAGATGATAGTGTTTAGTATACAGAGCGATAAGCAGTGTGGTCTGAACCCTTAAACCGGCACAGAAGTGATTAAATAACGTCTGTACGTCCGTTGGAGTATGTTTGCATTGTAATCGTTTCACGGATACTAACATACGTGTAACCACCTGTCACCCTGTCAACCACCAATCAATATGGCAGTCATACCATAGCTTACTTTATCTTCAGAATTAATCGAAAACTTATTCTTACGTAACAAAGTTTAATTTACTTTGCAGGTAGTGGTGGTGCAAGCATTCGCTTTCACAAAGGCAGTAGGCGACCTCTCAGTGTACTTCGATGTCAATGGGGACGTAGCGAAGTGGGTGGGGGAAGCAATTTACTTGAATAATTCCATACCGGAAGGTACTCTATGCATTTAGTAACTGTTATTAATGAAGAGGGAACGTTCGAAGTGCTCGGAACTTGCTTTAAGTTTTGGTATACGTACTTCTAAGTTATATATAAGCGAATAAGTTACTGAATGAGAATATACAATGTCTCTTCTACCTGTTTTAGTTTGGAAGAATAGAGTTCTAGATAAGTACAGGAATATTGTATAAAATAATCTTACTAAAGAAAAATGCGAATGTTTGAATGGATGAATGTTTGTAAAAAGGTATCTCTAAAATGACAAGCTAAAATTTGGAACCGATGTAGAACACAGTCTGAAAGAACACATAGATTACAAATTAAGCTAGTGGCTAGTGGACCACCACTGGCTACCAAGCCAGCTATTAAGAATAATATAATTTTCTAATTTCCAAGATACAGATTTTCAGACAAA